CTGTAGGATAGGGTATTTTGGCAAATCCGAAGCTCACCCTTTTCGTTTGGTTCTAAACATCGGAAAGCTAACGGTGCTAATAACCCCACATAGTTGTTTATCGTACCACCAAGACTTTCAATGAACTCTCCAAGCTTTTTGAAATGTTTCTTGATCCCGATTTCACACCTAGCTCAGGTCTCCTCCATCCTCGACTCAGGGTGTATTGATGATTGATCTAAAACCCAAAGTTTAAATCCTTCTAACGCCATACTGAACGCCACTTATCATAAGTATTTCATTTCAGTCATAGCGCTGCTCCTTCAAGATCCTCCAAATTGGCGTTCTCTTGAAGCCTGAGCTCAATGAAATTGTCTTTCTCCTATTCCCCCTCAAGGGGGTTGTAGTTGCTGCACACATATACACGCTTTACGGACCGTCATCCAATTATTTTCTTGGGGGTTTCCTCCGCGTAGTGGGATATTTCATAAGTTGGAGAATGAGACGCACTGGGGATGGATACGTGTTGGATTTCTGGCAACATTGACAATTGTTGACGCTCCCCGTGGGGTATTGGTTCAGATGAGTCTCAGCAGATGACTATTTCATCCGTTGGTAGGCCCGATAGTCACTTAGATTGAGTCAGTTAATACAGTGAAGTCTGCGGTGCATATGGTGGTTGATAGATACTCTTCATTGATCGACCCGAACATGAGAACCCGCATGGATCATATTGCATAGGCTCGGAACTCAATTGGTTTATATGCATCCGTATTCCACAAAAAGTCTGTTGAGAATCCAAGTAATTCTGTAATGGTATAATCTAGTCCTTTCAATTCGATTTCAAAGTTTCGAATTCAGCGAAACGAAATAAATCACTGCGAACATGTACTCTACATTGTGACATAGATTGTTTATCCATTATGATTCGAGGACCCAAATATAATTACCATTTCTAATACCTTTTCACCTTTTTAGACTTCGGGGGCGTACTAGGGCGAGCATAAGCCGGTTTGTCGACTTCGGGATTTTTATCTCCCTTTTTATCTTCCCATATATCATCACATACATCTGCATCACGATATTCGTAGCCATTTGAAGGAGCAGGAATGCCACTTCCTAATGGTAATCGTTCCAATAACCCCATCATCGCATTGGTAGCATGAGGTAATTCTCCAAGTGCGACACTCTTGATCTTCTGTTGAAGGAGTAGCATGTCGTTCGGAGAAAGCCCATGTGTGAATATCCTCTCAACTTCTATTTTCAAAATATCAGGATATCTATAAAAAGAGGATCGTCAATCGATAAGCATAAATCAATGTCCAATAGAAAGAACGAATGAACTCAAAAAAAAAAACGAACCTCGATGAGAACTTTGAGAACACTTCTTCCAGAATGGACATGTTGAGAATTTTATTTTTGATGTCTTGTTCAGCGAGCTTTTGTAGACTTAGCAGGCCGACCTGAAAGCAGGAGTTTCGATGTCAACAAAGGAAATGAGATATAAGTAGTAAGTAGGAGTCCATACCTTGTCTGCAAGTCGATATATAGACTTGGGCGAACATAGAGGTGGTCCATACGGATGATCGTTGGTATGTCTTTCGATAGCTTGTAACCGACTTTCTGTCCCTTGCGATCGCAAAGGTGCGAAATAAATCTTGCCTGTGTAGATGTAGTTTATCATAGCTTGCCATCTAAAAGAACGAGATGAAATGCGGATAGTCAGCAAATTATAATGTGACTTTGCTATCGAAATTCAATCTGACAACTTACGTATCTGCAGCTACATCCGTGATAATAACCGTATGCTTCAATTGGGGAGTAACCATTCTTTCAACAGAAACGATCGGTTGAAGACCAAGATCGATTTCTTCTCCTTCCTCTGCTAGTTTGGCCTGTAAAAACGAAATCAAAATGGAAAATGAAAGTCAGCAACGAAGAGCAAGGTTCAATGATAGGAAGAACTTCAAGTTCACTCGCCTTCTCTTTGCCTTTACTAGACGGACTTGATAAACCTGACGATGCGGTAACGAGTTCGTCTTCCCATTCTTCATCTTCGAGGTCACTATCGGATTCGTAACCATATTCGTCTGTTTCTCTTAGGACTTCATTTGTAGATGAGAATCCAGCAGAGAGTTCTACATCATAAAAGCAAAACACGTCAGTTCCAATTGATCAAGAAACCCAAAGAAATCGACGATATATGGACACGCGAGCAACAAAAAAACCCAAAACCAAAAAGTCCTCATATTAATAACTGGAAGTTTCCGAATAACAAGCAAATTAGTTAAAAGTACTCACGTCCACGAAAATGCTGCCCAGCAGCTTGCATCACCGTACTACTAGCATAAACAGCCCTGGGGATTCCAACCTTTCCATGATTAGCCGAAGAATTCAATCTTCTAGTGAATAGATAATAAGCTGTGTCTGAGAACGTCCCAGTAGCTATAGCTTGAGCAAGAGCAGCTTGAAGCGCGACTGAAGGGAACTCGGTTGAGCTTGAAGCCATGGTACCAAATACGAGGTTGTGAATAGTGTGTGAAGAGATGGTACGTTGTTGTGATGATGGAAAGGTAAGTAAGCAGGCTAGGTTGCGTGCAAGGGCTGGCTGGAAGATCAATGGGGTTATATAGGAATCATGTAAAAAAGAGGCCTCGTGTTCGTAATGAGGTGATGCAACGAGTTGTGATCGTCCTACCTCGAATCGAGGTTATTGCTAAAGTCGCGTATATTGGGGGACAACGGGTAAATGGTGAAGCAGCACGGTTGAAGAGAGAACATTGAAGAATAATGTTTTTTGTTGTAAGCGAAACGCATTGTCTGCTGTATCGGTCGTCGTCAAATTCAACTTCAAGGTAAGTTGTTTTTTGATACTTGCTCGTTTAGGACAATGGCCTCGTTGACCGGTAATACCCGGTGTATTCGGACAATACCGAACGGGCTTTGACTGAAGTTTGTGATTTTGGCTGACGGTGACAGCAACACTAGTACTATGACCGCCGCCGTCACCCCCAATGCGTCCCTCTATCTGCTCTCTTCCGTTTCCAAGTACGACCACCAACCTCCCTCCCTCCGCAAGATTGGACACCCTCCCGATTTTTTCAAGAACTCTAACACGTTTTCAAGGCGATACTCATACTCATAACTTTAGGATCTAAACAACTGTTCTAGTCTTCAGGCAACTTGGAAAGCTTGCACAGATGGCCCCCAATCCTCTCGTTGACTCACCACAGACAACGTCTACAGATTATACGTTCCTATCAGAATCATCTTCAGGTCCAGGGGATATTGTTCTCAATCCGCCATCCGAGTCCCCAATCATCTCGATCCCCGACGCAACAAGTCGTACTAGTCTCCTCGAAACTCCTACAGGCCTCTTCCTAGTTGTCTTATCATTCCTCCTAATCCTTATTATCGGAACTTGCATCGTTCTCTTTCGAATCCACTTTAGGAGTCCAGCTAATCCAAATCGCCGAAAGTTGATCCGGACCCAAGGAAATGGAGCTATGACAGAGAAATACAATGGCTCGTTTGGAGATGCTCGGAATTATAAACATACTCGTGGCCCAAAGGTTTTATATCTTCCTCATCTCGTTCAAATGGAAGGCAAAGGCAAAGCAAGTATTTCTAGGTCGGATTCGGATTCTCATTCGGTAACCTCAAGTACACGTACAGAGGGATCGTTATTCAACCATATCAAATCTAAGCTTTCCCTCTGTTCTCTTCGAAGTATCACGTCACCCTTAGGGGAGGGGAAACCAGCAAAGTATAACGATGTAACGGTACCTACCATCGTTCTATCGACTTGCCCGTCCCCAACTCTTCCTCCGCCGACCTATCAAGGTTTCGCTCTTGGATACGCTACTGACGACCAACCTGAGCATTTTGGATCAAGAAGAGATTCTCTGAGGGTACCTTCTGGAGGATACACAAATCCAAGACCTGCCCCTTCTGCACCTATCCCTCAACCACCTCGTCGTTCTTCTTTGTTAAGTCTGGATCAAACCGTCCAGCCTAGGATCGTCATTCCGGATCTCAGCGTCGAGGAGGCAACTATTGGTGGTGGTCAGCGAGACTCGGTGTCTTTTGCGACATACGCTAAGTCTTGTGAGGAGCCTTTGAAGCCGGAACCTGTTCCTGCTCCTCGTTTTGTTCCAACTAATGGTCAATCTGGGTTGAAAATTGTCCTTGAAGATAAAGAAGAATTCAGCTATAACCAGATTCAAGCTCACCTTCCTCGCACTACAAAACCGAAACGTTGTAGCAGACAGAAAAAGGAGAATTCTTTCGAAGACACTCGGAACGAGAACGCTGCGAGACGTCAATCATGCTATGGAATTCAGGATGGCCCTGCGTGAGTGTTATATCGCATTTCTTCTCTCGATTCACTTGCTTACTAGTCGTAATGCTTTATTAGAAGAACTCCGTTCGGATCTGTTAGCAATCTCATTTGAATTCAAATTTCAAGAACATTCATCTCTGAATCCTCGTAACACCAGTCGTTTCCTTCTTCTGTTTTCTCGTTCTCTAGGTCTTCTGTATTTCTGTATCAACTATAACGTCTTGCTGGGTCGTTCAACACATCTTCACACTTTTGTCTCTCTCTATCTCTGCATTCTTTCTTTTGGGTTTGGAATTTACGACTTCTCATGACTCTGCTCTCCTCCGTTACTAGTCATTGTTCTTTGCACCTCTTGAGTATACTGCCTTCCTCTGTTGATCATTCTATTTTTTTTCGTCGACTTACCCCTCGGACTCTACTTTACGACATTGTGTTTGCTAATCTTACTGTATTTCCGTCATAATCCGTATTTGTATGCATCCAATGTATTTCAGGTTGGTTTCCTATTATTACTCCACCTGTTAATTCTAACCTTTTGACGTTGAATTGGTGACTTGAACCTCTGAATTCCGATTTTCCTTAAAATTCTTCAGTTGTCTTATATGGTATCATGGCCAGAAAATCTATTGAACGCCAGATCCTCGGAGTAGATTTTAGGCTTCTATCCAATGATTAACAAGGGTCGGTGGCGTAGTTGGTTATCGCATCTGCTTTACAGTGAATAGAGCTGCGCAGAAGGTCCTCAGTTCGAGCCTGGGTCGACTCAATGTTTTTGTGTAGTTTTTAAGGTTTGCCATCTACTGTGTGACCTTTGTTGTCGCCGAGAAATTATAGTAATCGACAGAAATCAAGTCTGGTTCATGACAACAGAAACAACATGGAGGTTATCTCTCTAAGTGCTTAAAGACTGTGTAGATCTAGTTACAGTTTCTCCAGAATATGCTACATACACTACAGTCGAAACGATAGGAGACTCCGCTTGTGATGTAACATCAATGGTATTGAATTCCAATGTTCCCCCAGTAAGCGTGACTCTGTTCTCTGATATTCTTCTCAGTTCGGGGTACAAGATGTCAGGATCTCGAAGGTTGAGCATGAGATGTGATATGAGTGTTGCAGACATCCTGATATATAGATGATTATGTTAATCACGGTGGGGGGGAGGAGATTCAAATTCTAGAAATGTGGAAGTAAAATCACGCACACATTAGTGAGTATTGTAGTTGTTCCTTTGACAAGGGGCTGGTAATAGTAACCAAAGATTTCTCCAAAAGTCAGTCATCAGTCCTCTGAGGACTTTATTATTAAAATGCCTTACCCTTCCCAACTAAGATCGGACTCAACATTAGTGTTGATGTGAACATGGGTGCCAGTTTGAACACTCACGAGAAAAGTCATGATATTAGCAAGGTTTAAAATAGCCATACAACTGTTTATTTGTAAAGTTTTCAAATCTTGATTTTGGCGTTAACAACAGACTCAGATTTGTAACACACCCAAAATATATCGTTCCTTGTATAAAATGTTAGTCAAATGACAGAAGAGAGATATATATATATAAAAGAGAAAATGAAATTGCTCACCATCCCTCAATAAGACATCAAAAAGTGTTCTTCTGTCACTTCTTATGACACCAACAGCTTTATGGAGAGTAAGAAAAAAGATTAGTGTGTCGAATCCTAACATCCCACTAAAAGTGATTGCGAAAACTAGTGTAGATGGATCAATTTATGTAAGAGAAACCTCAGTAGGTAGAAGTGATGGCAAGTAAAGGGACTTACAATGACCACTATGGTTTTTTAACAATCAGTACTAGCACCAAATGCAAAGTATATGTAGCCAAAAGAAGTATTACTTACGCAGAATCTGAGATGGGAATATCACAACCAATATTTATAGGCAAAGATAGTACACCAGACTCTGTTTTGATGATCGCCCACTGCATGACAAAAGACGATTCGGTAAGATGATCCAATGATTAAGTCCCGGAGCGAGTCTGTAGTACTGTACTTACACAACCAACAGCGACCACAATAAATGCAGTGGATATTAACCAAAGGATATGTTTACTTCTGTCGTACAGTGCATATGTTCGAATGATGAGTGAAACTGTGACGTCAGACCAAAATCAACGAGTTAGTGGGTTGAGATGATGTACTGAAATGCTGAAGGTACTTACATCCAACAAGGATTTGTATGATTACGGAGAAAATTTGGTGATATAATACCAACGAGTCGCATCTGTTAGAAGATCACGATTAATGTTGCTAAAACAAAACATTGCGATTACATGTTTCTGCGAGAAATCTGGGACTTACAACTGTCAAACGAACCGGCAGGATCAACATGAGTGTGTTGATCGAAGAGGGGAGAAGATGCGACCACGAGAGAACACAAAAAACTTACTGAAGTATGCTTGGGCCAAAACACTTCGATTGCAGTTGGGATGTGTCCAAAAATTGCAAGATATCGAGTGAAGAAGAACACCACGGTGAGTACAGAAAACTTCGATCTTTGTCTTGCATATACTGAAGCTGAGTGTCGAGAACCAATAGTTGATACAATTGGATACCAATACAGATTAATCTCTGCCGCGAGTGTCAAAATGTAGTCGTAATACAGTATAGCTGATCAACATAAAAACGAGGCAGTCAAACTTCTGGCACTTTGAACCTCCTTGATATAACCATGACTTACTGAGAGAGATGCAACTAAGATAGAAATATAGATTGACATCGCTGAAATTCAACAGGTCATCTTGGAGCAGTCGGTAATGTACAAGACGGACTTACCTTTGAATTTGAGTACTTTTTAGACGTGTAATCTCACTCATGGATAAATATGAAATGTCGATTCAGAGAACGAGAAGAGAGTGGCCTGAGAAGAGTGCATAAATATCGCAAACTGCCAAAGGGACCTTTTCTACCAGTTGCTGTGTCGTGACAGCAGGGATTAGGCTTACACTTCGTCGAAGCTGATTTTTGGCTCCGTCCGAGGTCGAATGCGCTGCAAACAAGGCGTCGAGAAATTCTGCTTGATGTTGATGTGAGGTCCCCCCAGTAAGTAGTAGTTCAACTGTCCGAGAGCGGCAGCCTGCAGGAGGGTTCATCTTTTATCAGCATCATTGCTCAGTCAGAACACAGCAGGACTTACTTGAAGGTAACAAAAGTAGAAATCAGCCAGAGCGATTCTGGACTAGATTTCCATTGTCGCACCTGTTGCTGCATGTAGTTTGACCGTGGCACCTGTAGCTGCATGTACTATGGAGAAAAGAACCGTGACTTGGCGAAGAATGTATACACACGAGGAGGATTTTATCAACACCTGGAATCATATCAGTCGTTGAAACAGTCAAAAGGTAATTTAAGGGACTTTGTAGTTGACATTGATTCCGATGGGTGAGTCACGTATGTACGTGGTACTAAAGTTTGCGAGTAACCCACAGGTCGTCTGCGGCCTCATGATTGTTAGGTGAGACCGAGTTGCGGACTGTTATGGAAATCACCAGCCCTGGTGAATGAGTCTGTAGATTCGGAGGACACACATACATGTGGACTCGGACGGGACGACGTTGATCGTGACAAAACACTATTTCACTGAGTTCAACTTCAAGTTGTTGTTCCAGGCTGGCGGAGTGGCATAATCAAAAGGAAATATAGCTCTGATTCCACTCTAAGAACGACCGTCACGGGGTCGGTGGCGTAGTTGGTTATCGCATCTGTCTAACACACAGAAGGTCCTCAGTTTGAACCTGGGCCGACTCATTTCAATATAGGCGTACCTTTTTTTGTTTTTAAACACTGTTTTTACTTTACCAGTAACAATTATATAAGTTGATTCAGGTCCCAGTACATGCTTTGATAGCTTTAAATCCATTTGTTGATCGTAAGTAACTAGTACTGATCAATCCAAACCGGAAGTCTGTAGCATTATGTCCTCTTCGTGACCTTAATAATAATAATGTTCTAAATGCCCTCTATCCGGGTTCCAACGGCATGGGTTGCTTGTTGACATATCACGCGTCACTCGTAGTTATTAAGAACCATGCATTGCCCAGGAAAGACACAACAGATTGAATTAAGTACCAGATACCTAAGTATAACGAAAAGAAAGTGAAGGTAATAAAAGTCCACATATTTCATTAGACCTATGTAAAGTCTGCGAAAAGTTCCAAGTCCTCATCGATCTTCTAGGAAGCTTACTGGTCGGAAGAGTCAAGAGCATCATAGATGGTGCACAAGTTGCTCCAGTCATCTGTAGCAGAACGAAAATATTGTCAGTGAATTGAACGAATCGTAGGATTAACTGGGATATTCTTACCGGGGACAGGATTGGCCGAAGCAACCTGGGGAAGGTCTTCAGCAAAGACAACAGCGAATCCAGCATCCAAATGCCAGTCAATGTGGCAGTGAAGGAACCAGGGACCAGGGTTGTTAGTCTGCGACGGTATAATATCAGCTGTCGGTACAGACGTCTGAAAGATGAGATAACTAACGGTGAATCTGATGGTGACATTGTCACCAGTGGTTCCGATGTTGACAACATCACGCCTGACGGGGTTCTCGTAGTTGTAGACATCAGATCCTGCGCTGCGAACGACATCAAAGACATGCTTTTCGAATACGATTGTTAGCTTATCATGATAACTTCAAGTCGTTGAAGGAACGGAAGGGGACGTACACCGTGCAAATGCATAGGATGACCGCCACCGACGACACCTCCAGGCATGCTGAGTTCGATGGACGCATTGGAAGGGAGCGAGTAGACGAGTCCGGAAGGTAGAAGATCAGTTGCAGATTGGGTTCCACTCAAGATTTGGAGGAGAACTGGGACGGTAGGTGGGACGAATGTTTCACCGTTGACTTCAAAGACCGTGTTTGTGCCATCCTATTGATTTAACAATTAGTTTCACTTTGTGAGTAACGCACAGGTGATATTCAATTACTCACAAAGGTGAATTCGAGGTTGAGAGCGTAATCGACACCACCGGCAGTAGCGTTACCAGGCTAAAAATCGAGAATTAGATCGGGAACAAGACGACGAAAAACATATACGTACAGCTCCAGGACTCTCAAGAGGGATCAAATCAGTTTCAGCGAGAGGAGATGTGCTGGTAGTTTGGTTGGTCGTAGGCTCAACTTCATCTGCACCGGAGTAACGAAGAATGGCAGAGTTGATTCCGCCGTCGAATCCAGTGGAACCGATACCAGGGTTGGCTCTGATCCAGTAGTTATCGACTGCCTGGTTAGCTTCCAGCTGTGAAAGGAAAATTAGTTAAAACGATCGCAGGGGTTTGTTGTTAGGGATGTAGTGGATACGTACGACGAAGGAGTACCGTTGACCAGCGTAGATATCAAGGGAGTCCACTTGAAGGGCTTGGTGGTTGACTCCATCAACTTCGATGATCGTCATGTCATGTCCGTCAATAGAGAAAGTGTACATCGGGTCACAGGACATAGAGATCAGACGGAAACGGTATCTATATGAAGAATACCATTAGGATGTTACGAAGAAAAACAAGGCTGAAAACACACCTCTTTCCAGATTCAACGGTAATCACAGCAAGGTCTTCAGTAGTACCACCTGCGTAACGTCCCTTACCATTGATCAAGGTGGAATCGGCCGTACTGTGGGTGCTGTTTTAGCTTTCCTATACAATCGGCGTTCAAATACTGAGACTCACGGGAACTTCGCACCCAAACGTGCTTGAGTATGGTACCAATCTGCAAGGGTGATGATGGTAGTTTCTATTTAATCCATCGAGAT